ATTGAAACAAAAGTTCTGCTTTTGATTTATCTCCATAAAGCCTATTATTTGTCTAAAAAGCACATACTTTTTCAAAAAGAGAAATTAAGTTGAATTGATACAATTAGGTCTTCACAAAACCACACTGATTACTACCCTGTATCTTGGGTCTTTTTTGTTTTTTAAGTAATCAACCAATTGATTTCCAGTCTCCTAACTTAAATGCTTGAAATATAATTTGAAACACAGAATTTTCAGAATGTTCTTTATTTTATGATGAAAAGGATGTTATGCTATTTCCAGCCTTCAGTATGTCTTCTATCTTGCAGCGTACAATAAGCAACTGTTTAGAGTCCATTTTTCTCTTAGGCAGAGCAAACACAAAGAGCAAATTCTGTATTTCATCAAATCTAAGATGCCATGAATTGTAAAACTCATCTTTTTACGTTATGTACCATTTACAAAAAATAACTAGCCAATTTAAATGATACAATGCTTTCTTATTTCTTAGTTTGCAATTTTTTAAAGAGCTACTGTAGACACAGTTAGGCATATATGCTTCACTAATATCAGATTTACTCCCTGCTGTTGTTTCTATGCCATTCTGCCTACACAACAACTTTTGTTTCAATGCCAAATCACAGCACAATATTTTTTAAGACAGTTTAGAGTTCAACATATGCAGAAGTCAAGTACAATAACATGAACAGGTTTGACCAAATATTCCTTGCATAGGCAGTGACAATGGACATCCCATCTCCTGTTGGGCCTACAGCAATTTTAAGATGTCAGCAATTGGAGAAGCAACCCTACTTCCAAGATGTCAAAAAAAAGTGCATCTTAGAATCACTGAAATATGATAACATAAAATCTGTACATATTATCACTCAACATGTTAGTATTCACATTGAAAAGCTTTTTGTACTATCCAATGTAATAATTCTTTTTGTTACTGCCCTTGCTAGGTGACTGGAGAATAAAAATCTGACTAAGTCATGCTTTTGCTTTTGAGTTTGGTGAAACTGACCAACACAGGAAGAGATATTTGTAATTCAAAACAATAAAAGCTATAAGGGAAGTATGGCAGAGCATTATGAAAACAGAGGAGAAATAATTGTGCTTAAGGGAACTGTATTACTATTTTGTGCCATAATATTCAGGGCTCAATTTTCAAGGATATTATCACTTTTCTTTTTGTGTGATCCAACTCTAGAAAATTTCTAGAATGTGGAACTTGGGTTCTCAGGCAATACTACTGTTTTTATTTGCTACTGTGGATGTGGAAATAAGCAATTCTTTGACATTTAAAGACAATAAGCACAAAAATTATCCAAGAGGGAAAAGCCAAACTCATATACCAAGTGTGGATACTTTAAAACTTAGGGCCCATGTTTTCTTTCAATTTTAACACTGGAGGGGAGGGAGACAATAATCTTAAACAATTAAAAAATCTTAAGTAATTTATTTAAAAAGAAAGTCCTACAATAATTAAAAACTCTAGTCTTTTCAGCAGATGGTGCTGGAACAATTGGTATGCACAAAAAATGAACTTCAATTTATACCTCACAAAAATAAACTTAAAATGGATGATACACTTAAATGTAAAAACCATAAAATTTCTAGAAGGAAACAATCTTTGTGATCCTTATTAGGCAAATATTTCTTAGATATGACATCAAAATTCTAATCTACCAAAAAAAGATCAGGCTTCATTAAAATTAAGAGTTTCTGCTCTTCAAAAGACACTGTTCAGAGAGTGAAAAGCCAAACCACCGACTGCAAACAAAATAAATGCAAATCACATATCTGATAAAGGACATGAATCCAGAATATAAAAATAACACTTCAAGAAGACATATAGATGAAAAGACGTTCAACATCAATAGGCATTAGCGAAATACAAATCAACCACAATGAGATACCATTTTACGCCCATTAAGATAATTAAATTTTTTAAAAAGGACAAAACCAAGTACTGCCAAAGATATGAAACAACTATAACTCTCATACACTGCTAGTGGGAATGCAAAGTGGGATAGCCACTTTGAAAAACAGTTTAGAAGTTTCTTATAAAGTTAAATATATACTTGCCATACAATCCTGCAATCTCACTCTGATTTTACCTAGCTCAAACATAAACAACTATGTTCACTTTGTGTTACCCACACTTAAAGAATTTTAAGAGAATATAATTTTCCAAGAAAGGTTGTTGTTGTTAGGTGCCGTCGAGTCGATTCCGACTGATAACAACCTGATGTGACAGAACAGAACTGCCCCATAGGGTTTTCTAAACTATAATCTTTACGGGAACAGATCACCAGGTCTTTCTCCTGTGGAGCCACTGGGTGGATCTGGAGCTAAGCACTTAACCGTTGTGCTACCATAGCTCCTTCCATATTTAAAGAACGAATTTTAAGAGAATATAATATGCCTCCTTTGCCGTAAGACCGGAAAAACTAGATGGTGCCCAGCTACTTTTACTGAACATTTTGATCAAAGATTCTACGCGAGAATTCTGATCAAAAGGGAAAATTCAGAACCAAATCTGAACTTCTCATGGACTCCAGACTCTGTGGAGCCATGCAGGCTGGGTGAACTCCTGAAATTATTGCCCTAAGCTAATTTTTAAACCTTAAACCAAAAATATCCCCTGAAAACTAAACAGTAGTTTAACTTAACTAATAAAGAATATCTGCCTTAAATGAGCATTATGTTTTTTAAGATCTGTATGGGATTAAAATGACAACAGCAACTCGAAAGATTAGACAGGAACCTTAGGGGCAGTGTGTTTAGGTTAATGGGGGAGGAACTACTCAGAAAAGGAGGGTGAGAATGGTTGCACAACTCGAAGAATGTAATCAATGTCACTGGATTGTACATGTAGAAATTGTTGAATCTGTGTATGTTTTGCTGTGTATACCCTTAACAAAATAAAATTTTTTTAAAAGAAAGAATATAATGTAATTTTCCAAGAAAAAGAGACGTCTAGATTTAGAGAGCTAGTATAAATAAAAGAAATTGGTAAAACTACTCCTTCAAAGACATAATAATCTGATTGGCAGATTTCTCTGTTTACAAAAATCTTGCCTTTTGCTTAAGAACCAGGGAGGCAGGCAGGCTGGTGGAAATGGTTGCTGGGTTTGAAGGGTGCAAGAAGCTAGGGCGGTAATCAGTCTGCTCATCATGCAAAGAGCAGACCCTAAAGGTGGACCTCACCTTCAGGCTCTGTGTTAAGCAGGCCTTGTTCTAGCTAACAGTGCACGTAAGAAAGCATCACCAATTCTGCCATTCTTGAAGAAGGATAGGACATCTATGGTGGACAAGGCAAGCTTTTAAAAGTTACTAGTAAACATTTTTGAGTCTGACAGACCTGGATTTGAAGTGTGGCTCCACTACTTACTAGCTAGTGTGACCTTAAATAGCTTATTTATTTTTGAAAGCCACTTTTCCTCAACTCTTATAAAATGAGTGAAGTAATGGAAGTAAAATATTTAGCACTATGACAGGCACTAAATAAATCTTGAACAAGTGGTAACCAAATAACAACAACAAAACAAAAAAACTGCTGAAATTTTAAAATAATAAATTTAGCTAAAGCAATTCCTACTTACGTTTGTTTCTCAAAAGCAAAGCAGTTGCTTCAGTGGACATATATCTGTTTCTAATGTGAAATGTGGTGATATTCAACAGGTTTCATGAAAAAAACAAGGATGAATGTTTAGCTGGAAAAAACTGTCATCAGTGTATTGATGTGACTTTTAAGCTTTAATATAACTGCTTTGTTATTCAATGTAATTATTTTATAGGATGTAATTTCTTTTTTTCATTATTGAGAATGCTTTGAAGTAACTTGTATAAACATTTACACACTTTTGTCAGCTTTAAAAAAATGGATTATTTTTAAGAAATAGCACTTATGTTCACTTTCTTTCTTGAAGTACTACATTTATCTTAAAACATTCTGAAGGTAAAGATAAGTCAAAAAAGGAAACAGGCAAAAAAAAATCTGTATTTTACAATGGAATTTTAGACAAAGTTAAAGTCTTAGGGAAGAGCCATGGATAAGGCATTAAATAACCTACACCAGTATTCCAATTCAGACACTATGTAGCCATGTAAACTTGGTCAAGTCTTCTGGGCTCTTCAGGCCTCAGTTTCTTCAACTATAAAATGGGGTATTAAATTAGGTTTTTAAAAAGGATCATCTCTGATAAACTTATATACTCACAAATACTGATCTGACACAGTATCTTGAGAACTCTGATGAGGTGCTATGATAGTTTTTTGGAAAGTATCACTATTGTCTTTGTCTTCGAGAATAAATCATTAAAGGAAGAGAACAGGTAGAATGACAATTCACTTCTAAATAACATGGCAAGGCCAGCTGTTTAAACAGAAAGAACTCAAAGAAAGAGGAGAGTTTTCAAAGATGGGATAGGAAAGAAGCCAAGGGGAGAAGTGGTTACTTTTTCCCTTTACGTACAAGGAAGGTTGCATAAGTTTTCTGGAACAGAACTAGAACTCATCCTTAATTATCATGACATCTTTTCAAATGCTCAAGCACCTCTAAAGATAAGGCAACCAACCTGCTCGGTTTGCTTGAGACTGAAGAAGTTTCCAAGACATAAGACTTTCAGTTTTGAAACTGGGATAGTCTCAGGCAAACCAGGATCCGGACACAGGGATTCCCGGGACCCTATCTACTAAAAGTCATGATGAGTAAAGAGTTAAAGCCAAGTGTGCCAGAGTACAATGGCTTTCTTAAATCATCAAACTGGATTTCTTAACTATCTCTCAAGCATCCAGCATCTTCCTTACCTTCCTTATCCAAGGTGTTGAAACTGACATTAATATTAAGAACTATGGGACAAGAGAAAACTTGCCCTTGTTTTTCCCTTTATTTCTTTTCCAGCATTTTAATGAATTCAGGAATCTTCCAATTAGCCATCAATATTGGCCATCCTTTAGAAGCCTGACATATATGCTGGTGGTTAATCAGTTTTCCTGTCATTACTTTTCAGCCCCTGAGTTTTGAAAGCAAGAAAAGCTACACCTTAAAAGTGGAGGGAGCCAATCCTCACCTGGAGATACGTTTTCTGAACCTGGGCCCATTTCAGGACACAACGACAGTGCACATCAGCGTGGAAGATGTGGATGAGCCCCCTGTATTCGAGCCTGGCTTTTATTTTGTGGAGGTACCTGAGGACGTGGCCATTGGAACCACCATACAGATCATCTCTGCCAAGGACCCAGATGTGACCAACAATTCAATCAGGTTTTTACACAGATTTCACCTTTTCCTTATGTCCTGGAATCTTCTCTTCCCTTGACATAAGGGGAAAAGTAGACACTTTTTCCTTTTGTATCTTCCTTTCCGATCTCATCTTTGGATACGCTCCTCTTTGAGTTCTTCCTGTTTAAAAAACATGGCCTTGCCACGGTATTTAGAAGTGAAGTTTCATTACACCTACAATTCACTGTCAGGTGGTTCAGCAAAACATACGCATATACACTTCAGTTCTTGATCGCAGCACTACTGACGAGTTGGGCTGGAAAATTCTTTGTTATAGGGGCTGCTCTGTGCACTGTAGGATGTTTTGCAGGATCTCTAACTTCAACCCACTAAATACCAGTAACACCCCAAGTTATGGCAAGGTAAAATATCCCCAGATATTGCCACATGTCCCCAGGGGGTTGCCAAAATTGCCCCTGGTTGAGAACCACCATTTTAGATGACACATACACATATAAACACCAAAACATTAAAAATTGTTGAATCTTAGTGGTGAATGTGAAGGTGATCATTGTGCCTTCTTTCAACTTTTACTTAAAAAAAAAAACGGAATGAAACAACATGACCACATACCATAGAAAGACAAGACATAGAAACTACTCCTGGTGTCAATGGTTTTAATGCCAAGTAGACTGGCCAGAGAGGGCTTTGTATTTTAATCCCACATATCTGTCTCTCCAAGGTATGTTTTGAACCTGAAGATTCCAAACAAGATGCTTCCCCCTCAAAAGGGGGAAGAGAGCTGCTCTTACAGCCATAGCCATTTCCCTTCAATTCTGGAACCGAAGTACGAACAGCTGGTGGACAGGTTGACACCTCAACCTTCCAGAGCAACTGCCAAGCCTCTGAAGCTTGACACAAAAGATCAGGATTCCAAAGCCGTTTGAGGCCATCTGTCGCACTAATTGTTGAAAACCATACAATAAAATGAAGCTGGGGCTTTAGTGCAGATAACACATTTTAAACACACCCCAATTTATCAAATGCTTTTTTCTGTCAACTGGCTACTTCCCTCACCTGGTGCTATTTTGCATTTAATGAAAATGTGCTTTTGCAGTTGAACAAGGATAGTGCTTTCCAGAGAATATCTATACTACGGGGAAATCTGCCTCCTCTAAGCAACTCGTAAACATTTTATGTCTCTAGGCATTAAAATGGCTAAAATCATTTCGTGTGAATGTTGATATTTAACTTTTAGAAGGCAACTAATCTTTCAATTATGAGTTATAACAATTTTATAGGAGTGATACTTCAACCTTAAGCTTTTTAAATGTAAAATGGGACAGGAAGAAGTCATATTACCTCCAAAACAACCACAACAAAAATGAAGCAGATTCTATAGTAAATTTATATTTTCAGAAACCAAGAAATATATATCTTCTCATCTATATATACATGAAAAGTACAATGCTCAGATTTCCTGAATTTTTAATAAACGCCCAAGAAATTTCTGGCAAGCAGGAACTTGAACCATTTGGCCACCGAAACGGCTCTTCCTGATGTGGAAACAGCCTGTCCGTCCATGCCATCCTAGAGCGTATGTGGATTAGTGAGCCTGCCGTGATGCCCTGCTTCCAAATTGCTCCCAAATTCAGAGAATGTCTTCAGCCAAGCAAACAAGCAGGGAACCCAACAAACAACAGCTACTGTCTGCCTAAGGCAGTCTTGTATGTATATGTTATGCCTGATCTGCTCAAGAGTAGGTAAGAATACTATACTTAAGGAAAGGAAAACAACCAGTGCATCCCAATTTCCTCATTTTCCATCTGTAGCTACACCTTTAATTCCTTCTCCTGCCTTCTGAAAATTGGCCCAGTGTCCCATTCAGAGCAGTGGAACCTATTCCTCCCTTGAATCAAGCCCTGGATTCCACTTGCCGAGAGTGGCTTCTCTGAGCCAGGCCCGTCATGCTCCCTCCCAGTGTCACCAGGCAGCACCATCATGGGTTCTGTCAGTTGTTTATTTCTATCCTCCATTTCCCACACCATCTGTGACATTCACGGTGGCATTCTGGAGGGCTGGCTGAGTAGAGAAAGCTGGTTCATCCTAAGCTGCCTCTCCCCTCTGCTCTGTGCCTAGTTTGGAGAGCTGCCATTAGGCTGGAGGCAGGTCCATAAGTTCAGACCCCACAGACCAAATGGCTGAGCTTTTTCATGGGTTTGGGCCCCGTGGACCAAATGACTGAGCTTTCCTTATGTGTGGGGAGCTAGATGAAATAAGAGCTTGTCAGATCCAACGATTTTTGTTTTATTTCATTTTGTTTGTCTAAGAGAAAATGCAACTCTTTCTTTTCAATGTTTATTGTGGTGAAATACATGTAACAAAAACATTTCCACCATTTTTATGTGTACAGTTTAGTCCATTAACTACATTCACCATGATATGCAACAATCACCACTATCCATTTCCCAATTTTTTCATCACCCTTAACAAAAACTCTGTACTGCTTAGGAACAACCCCAAATTTTCCCCTCCCAGTCACCCCAGGTAACCACTAATGAACTTTGGTCTCTATGCATTTGCCTAGAGAAAATACAACTCTTAAAAAGGCCTGTAAATTTAAAACTAAATCACTAATTATACCTAGGGGGAAAAAAAGTAATACGCCAGTTAACTTTAAGTGAACTTTGTAGGAATGTGTGTGTTATTAAAAAGTCAACCGTTTGATATCGTCACATAACCTATCTTTAAGAAGCAGCTGCAGGTGAACCAGTAAGCAAGGTGTGCACAGGCTCACAGTAAGCAAGGTACACACAGGCTTACAGTAATGTGGCGAAAAACAGGTGAAACGGTGCACTCCAGATTAGTCAGTAAGCACAAGTAAGCCCATGCCTACCTTGCTTATTGGCTAATCCGTCCCCGTTAAGATATAAAATTGTTTCTTCGTAAAAAAAATATATATCTCACGTGTCAGTAAGACAGCATGGCATGGTTGTTAGGAGCAGGAACCTGAAGCCAGACTGCCCTGGCTTGATTCTCAGCTGTGCAACCTTGGGCAAGGGACCTAACCTTTCCATGTCTATTTTCCCACCTGTAAAATGGGAATAATAAGAGTGCCTATTTCAGGGTGGGGCCAAGATGGCAGAGTAGTCACACGCTTCCAGTGGACCCTCTTACAACAAAGACCCAAAAAAACAAGCGAATAAATTATATATGACAATCTAGGAGCCCTGAACATCTAAGGCAAAGTTGAGGAACCAGACTGAGCGGCAGGGAGAGAGAGAGGGTTCGGAAGCTGCGAAGAGGTGCCAGACCTATCCCAGCAAGAGCCTGAGCCCTTCAGGTCTGAGCAGCTCATGAGTGAGCAGTGAGACAGGCAAGCAGCGGTGCTCAGGAGGCGCGTTTTCTGCACCCGGAGAGACCCAGTGCCAGAGAGTCTACTCAGCCACCCAGAACCAGTGAGAAGCAGCCCTGGATCAGCGAAAAGATAAGTACTTGCATATGGCCTGCCGCGCGGATCAAAAACACCTCCCTTAGGGAAAAACCTCTCTCCCATTTACCTTCCCGCTCCCTGCTCTGCACTGGTTCCCAGACCAGCTTCAGCAATTGCCAAGTACCCTGGGCCAGAAGTAGGATCCATCACACGCCCAGAACCATTCTCCCTGCCTTGGAGAGTGAACAAATTAACAAACAGGAAAAAATGAACTGCCAGCTCCCCTAAGCCAGGAACCCAAAGTAAGCACAGCTCCTTTGCCTAGGCATAGGCATAAGGGATCCACGGACTTTGAGTGCCTTTTCCCCTGCAGAGACTTGTGTGGGCCCATTTCTACAGTGTAGACCCTCATTACCACAGTACAACAGGGCATATACCTGAAGTCTAACTTCAACTGTTTCAGCTGTGAACTGGCAGGTTCTTGACATTTGACACTGCTCTGCCCATTAAGCAAGGTCTTCACCTACACACCAGGGGCCTGAGGACTGGTTGCTCCACCCACGCCACCTAGCCACCTGCGATAGGGGCCCAAGAATAAGAGATGCCCCCCAGTCCTTCCAACCAACAGCATCAGGTGCTCATAGTCAGGCTGCAAAACCCACCCACCCAAGCACTGTAGGGAACACAGACAAGTCTTCCTCCTGGACACTCGGAAGCGGCCGTCAGTCCCCTGCCTTGCTCAGAGTGTGTCCCCCTATTGCAGCCAGATGCCTGTGCCTACAACAATCACCCATGCCTGTCTAGGACCATAAGTGACAGCCTATACCATGCATTTGGTAGCTATCTACCTGAGCACCTGAGCTAAATCCATACAGGAGGATTGGGCAAACTTCTGAGCTCACATACCTAGTAACAGATATAACCACCTGGTGACAGGACCTTAGAGATTCAAAGCCACCAATAATCAAACCAGCTCATACGAACAGCCTATTTGGGCATATCAAAACAAAACAAGAAGCTAGGACACAGTAAGGAAACATAAAATAAAGAAATATAATACCTTATTGATGGCTCAGAGACAACAAGTCAATATCAAATTACATAAAGAGGCAATCCATGATGGCTTCAGCAATCTCCCAAAATAAAGAATCTAGATATTTTCCAGAGGAGGAAAATTTCTAGGAATTACCAGAGGCAGAATACAGAAGATTAATACACAGAACTCTTCAAGAAATTAGGAAGGAAATTCATCAAAACGCAGAACATGCAACAGGGGAAAATTAAAAAGATTAGAGAAGAGCATAATGACAAATTTAACAGGCTGCAAGAATCCATAAACAGCAATCAGAAATCCAGAAGATTAACAATAAAATATCAGACAACTCAGCAGAAAGTCACTGGAGCAGAACTAAGGCAATGGAAGTCAGAATTAGCGAAACTGAAGTTAAAGCACTTGACACCAACTTATTTGAGGAAAAATCAGATAAAAGGATTTAAAAAAATGAAGAAACCCTAAGAACTATGTGGAACTCTATCAAAGGAATACTGTACAAGTGATTGGAGTACCAGAACGGGGGGGAATACAGAAAATACAGAGAGAATTGTTGAG